TTACCATATTGTGATGATGCCCTGTCAGGCCGGAGCGATGATTCAAAAACATGAAAACCCATTATAAACGAGGCATACGTTGCAACCAGTGTGGACATAATTATGGATTATAATGACTTTGGATGGATAATAAAGAAAGGAAAAATTGAAATCGCATCATATGACCCCTTTTAATAGAACAAATGTAATACAACAATTGGTAATACTGACCACCCCGGAGTTTTATAGGAAGCGAAAATACTGACATTTTAAAATAAGAGCCAAAGAATGATTTTCATTTAAAAGCAGGAAGGTCAGAGATCAAGTAATTTGCATGTGCAAGTCAAGTCAATTCACCTTTATTTTTATAGCGCTTTATACAGTACTGTTGTGTCAAAGCAGCTTTACAGTATCAAACAGGAAAATAGTTTGTTAGTAATGCAAGAAGACAATAACAGAGTCATTTTTCCAGCTAAAGTCTGTTCATGTGCAAATGATGTGCATGTGGAGCCTGTCCAACCTCAGAATCTCGGCTTTAATGCTGTACAGCCTTCACTGACAGGAGGCGCTATTGAGCAGTAAGACTTTACAGTAACGGGAGAAGATTACGGTAATTATATCCACGCCGAAAATAATTACATATCTAATAAAATAAAATAAATAAATAAATAAATCAGATTAATGACATTAGTTCAACAGGCAAGTAATAAAAAAAGTCATAATAAGTTATTAAAAAATATTTTTTGTTATAAAAAAAGTATCAACCAGATGAATGAATGTTGAACTCGTTAATTCTGATTATTTAATTATTTTAATTACTCATCAGCTGTGTTAAATAAAGAAATTTCACAGATGGTCCACAAATAATGTAGTTTCATATTTAATTTTAAACATTTCCTTAATTTTAAAAAACATTAAATACTATAGTTAAACTTTAACTATAATAATACAATTTAAAAAAATGGCATTTAAGATTTAAATTGTAACACACAAAGTGTTTTTTTTTTTTTAACCACAGACTGTAGTATTTTGGCATATTGTAGCTTCTTACCATGGTACACTTTTTTTTGTGTGAAGATTTAACAGAAAAGTTGTGTCTAAAAAAATGTAAAAGATGGATGGATGTTATCAACCTAATATAATTAATGTTTTCTGGCTGAAATAATGTCTTTCTCAGAGTCCAGGCATGTTGAGTTGTGCTCACGGCTCTGGACCAAGTCATTTAAAATCAACCTCTAATTAGAGCGGGTTAATATCAGATTACGTTTTCCTTTCATTAACAATAAAGAGGTCATTATGATGTTTTGACAGACAACCCCCATCCTTAATAATCACGATATCATCTGAAGACAATGCATTTGTACTCGAAGGCTGATAACCTGCTCATTCTGATTCCCATTTTATTGCATCATTTCTTTCCTCTAGCAGCACAAGTGCCTCCAGAAACCATTTAATACAAGACTCTACAGGACAAATGATTATTACTGTCTGACAGACTCAGACAATGACACTGTTCACAAATTACAATATACAGATGATTAACGCAGCATATGAACAATGTTTACAGAGAGCAATCCTGTCAGTATAGCAGTGTGCACAGCTGCATATGAAGCGAGAGACTGTGTGTGCTGCATCGCAATTCATATCAATGGATAGCAGGCATACAATATACAGAGAAACCAGAGCCATTAACAATCATGATCTGGAGATCGTGCCAGTCTTTGTAGCACCTTGCAGTCTGATTAGGGGAAAGTGGAACAGAAAGATATTTTTGAGCAGTTTGATCCTGTGAGAAAAAGGTTGTTCTTGGGCTGGTTTTCTCCTGGATGGTAGAGGGCAAAACAGCTCAAGGGATGAATGGCTGCTCTTACTAGGGGTGTTGCTAGACCCATTTACTCATAAAAGACCCATAGCGAAAGACCACTGTGGCCCAGTAAAAGTTTACTGATAAATTCTTATGTGTCAATAGGATTGACCAAATATATACAGTATATATATATATTGGTTGTTGCAAGTTTTACTGATTTGTCACCAATATGATGTTTTCTACCTGGCTGAAATAGAAGAGGTTTTGTTCAAATCACAAAAAAATACTTTTTTGAATACGTCAGTGTATGCCATCATTTTACAGCAAAACTATGTTCATGAATTTGTATAGTTAAATTAGCTGTATAATTTCGATCTTGTTGCATATTTTTTTTTTTTTTTTTTTTGATAATAATTCAACAATCAAGTCATGTTTTTTTTTTTTTAGAATAACTAGCTATGCCAGATTTGAAGATTAATCACTTTTGATTAATTCGGTCAAACGGGTTTGTAAAAAGGTCAGAATTATTCACTCAGTTGGATTCATCCGGATGTTCGCTCATGCACTGAATTGTTTGCAGTAGTTTCTAACACCAAAATAGTAACAGAGTGCTGCGTTTTACCCAAAGTTGAACATTCTTCAACTCTCAGTGCAGAGAAAAAACGCCCGACGGTGAAAAAGATGCTCAGCGTTCAGCACACCCCTGGCATTTTGAAAACAATGGACCCTTTTCTTAAGACTGTGATGGTGCGTTTCACCCAGAGCCAATCCTCCCTATACGCAAAATACGTAAGCTGCGTAGGCCCCCCGAAACACCAGGGGGCCCCCTTGCTCTCAAAGATGATTTAATTTTAGTTTTGTTTTTGAATTTGGCCAGCGGTTATGAAAACATGAATGATCATTTCTTTTAGTGCGCTGTCGCCCTTTCTACGTAAAAATCAGTCAAATCATGTAATGTGAATGTCGTACAGTCTTGCTCGAGACTAA